CTGCAGGCGGGCTTGCCTGCCCGCGCTCCCCGGGCAAAGCTGCGTCGGCCCGGTGTGGACAGGTGGTGACAGAAGTCCTCGTCGCTCTGGACGGTCGTCCACGGCTGAGCCTCTGTTTTTCCCTTGAGCCCTGAGCGCTGCAGGCCAGAGTCCTGCTAAATTTAATAGGGCTTTTTGCTTTGCTGTTTTATACATCTGGGATGTCTTCAGGTGCTGTTGCAGCCAGTGAAGCAGGTCGCAGAGTGCTGCTTTAAAATGCCTGAAGAATTGAACTCGGATGCAGAAGTCAACCTCAGGAGTCTCTCCTTTCAGAAAAGATGGCTAAATATTATGTTGATGTTTCAAGGACCAAGTGTTGAATTTAAGACATCACATTGTTTCTTGGATGCAGAGATTTGAAACTGAATTGCCACTGTACCTTTCTTCATCAGTTTCCTTATCCGTAGGAGCTTTGATACATTGATAACTTTGATAATAGGTATCATATAATATACAAATTTCTTCTTGACTTAAATGTCTTCTGTATAACAAGCAGTCCTATCACAACTGCATCTGCTCTTTAGGTCCTAACTCATTGGGAATGAATTTTGGATATTTATCTCCTAGTGGCAACAGTACCTAATCCTATTGAAATGAACTCAGTTATCTCTTACTGCCTGGAAAACTCTTGAGCAAGAGCCAAAACACTGGTATTGTGGTTGTATTCAGGATGATCGTTTCTGCACAGTTCATATTTGGAAAGTTATTTGCTGATAACTAGAGTTTAATCTGTAATTACTCATTCATTTTCATCAAGAAACATTTCTGGTTTTATTGTTCAGGAGGTAACACACACCTTTTGGATGTAGTCAAGCCATTCACTGAAGAGCCACCATGTGGTCTAGATGACAGATACTAAGAATGAGCTAAAGCATAGATCAGAGACTGAACTTACTAAGTATCAGTTTGATTTACATTGCAGATCATCCCACATTCATTAGGGGGTTGCTTTCCTCTGAACCTCTTAATGAGTTATGTAAATAAATTATGTACCCTCAAAGAATCACGTACCCTTAAAACTTGTGTTTTAGAAGAGCTATCTTACATAGAAATCTTTTGTAAGATATGTAACACTTAATCTTCAAGAAGCAATACAGGAGAAAAGTTAAGAAGCAAAGTATTAGTAAAAATATATTGTCCTTGAAAACAGTGTGCTGCCACTTTTGTAACTGCTTTGTTTATCATAAAATGTATCCTTTTCTAATGAACAAAGCAAGGAAGAGGGGGACAAAGAGATTTTGTCTATAAACTAAATGCATAATTCTAGTCAGCCTAATAAATGATACATGACAAAGTTGAGTTTCAGATATACTACAAACTTCTGAATGTGCTTAAGTGCTTTGAGTGTTTAGGAGTTTTTTGCAAATTGGTATTTTTCTGTCTCTTGTTTATTTTCAGGAGAACCATATCGGCTTTTAAGTGGCATAGAATATGTAGTTGGACGCAAAAACTGTGCAATATTAATTCAGGATGATCAGTCCATCAGTCGAAGTCATGCAGTTCTGACAGTAAGTCGTCCTGAAACAATCCCTGTAAGTAGCCAGCATTTTACTGCATTATCAATACGCGATGTGGATAATTCAGTCTGCCATGACCATAGATACACTCATTTCACTCTCACTGGTGTTTTATGCCTGGAGTGGAACCATTGATCACCTGCCTTTTCTTAATCCTGACTTTTTTTTTTCTGGGTTGCTTGCCTGTGTTGAGAAATTTAGTGGCATAATTCTACTCGTCCAAGCTCCCATTTGAGCATTCCTTTTATCCCAGAGTGAAGATTCACTATGAATTTGTATTAAAATAATCATAGCAGGAAAATTATGCAATTAAATTTCATTACATAGACAAGTTCTAGGTCTTGGTTCTGGAAAGTGCTTTAGTTGTCTTACTGCAGGCTTAGTTTGTGTTTCATTCCATATCATTTCTGTATTTGCTTAGGGGACTGAAAATAAGAATGTCCTAAGGAGAATTAGCAAGCAGCAATTTACTATGACTTATGTGTTGCAGTGTTCATGGATGTTTTGAAGCCAGTCAGCAATTGCATTTACGTAACCGTATAATGAGTTTGAAATGAAATACATAAAATTTATTTGTCCTTTTAATAATGCAAATAGTGTATAACTGCGTGGCAAAATTTCATAAAAACAGTCTGACAGTGTTCTCATTGGCTTGTGAACCATTTGGGAAGTATGACAGTGTCTAACCTCTTCTCAAGGCATGCTGGTGTCACTATGCCCTGCAGCTTGTGGACTAGCAAGGTGCTAGTGCTGTGACTAGCAATGCGTGTGGAAGGAAGTGAGGGAAAGTGACTTGGGCACCTATGCCAGGGCTGAATGGTAGGTAAAAGCATCAATAATAAATCTCAGAGGTTTGCTAAATAGGACTAGCAGAGGCTTTGAGCCAGTGAATGATTGCCTTGCACAGCCTCCAAAAAGACTGATTGTAAGAAGCACAAAAGTTCTGAAGCTGAAAATATGTATGTTTTCTCTCATTCCTTCACAGTGAAAAGCAGAAGATGAATAATTGCACGTAGCCAGCCTTATTGTCCAAAGTCTTTATTTAGGATGGTATTTTGTGGCCTTTTTCTTACTTATCTACTGCTTTGATCCATAATGGTAGTAACCTGTTTCTGATAAAACTACCTAATTTTGATAAACTATAATGGCTTATTTATGTTTATTTTCAGAGCCAGTCCCTCGCAGTCCCTATGTTAACAGTAAGAGATACATCTAAGTATGGTACCTTTGTTAACGGATCAAAACTCAATGGCACTTCAGTGTCTTTGCAGTCTGGTGACAGAATCAACTTTGGAGTCTTTGAGAGCAAGTTTAGGTAAGTGCTTTGATTATAAAATATCAAGTAGAAAATTGCAGTTTTTGAAAAAAGTATATGTGCACATCATACAACTTGGCAAGTGATACAGCAATGACGAGTTCTTGGAAGGCAAAGGAGGTGAGTAATATTTTGCCTGTGTTCCATACCTGCTTCTGCAATAGTTTTTCATTACATATTTTTATAATCCAATTTATTATGACACTGAGAAATTAAAATTGTTCACAGTAAAGCATTAGCATTTTAGAAGATGTTGTATCATGTATAGTGTGTGTTTTCAGGCTGTCTTAGGCAAACAACAAAATCCTAAACCATAAATGGTTCTAAAGAAGGGAGGAAAGTTTAGGGTAGGGAGAGAGCTTGTCTGAACCCTTGTTAGCTGTTGATAATGTAACAAGAAAAGAACTGAGATAGCTGGAGGATGTTTTGTGCAGCACTAGCCATTGAATGCTTGTTGCTGCTGCATTCTCTTTACTGAACCCAACTTGCTAATTTTTCAAATTTAACATGGTAGTCAGTGCTATCTGTTTGAATATATGAAGCACTCCTTGAAGTAAAGCAGCAGGTAAATAGAACAAATTCTAATGACCATTAAAATCAACATCAAAGCAACCAGAAGTTGGCTTTGTTCCTTAAAATTTGACTCTGTTTTGTCACTGCTGCTTGTATTATTTGATAGAAAAACCGTCATTCTCTTCCAGTTATTACAAGAAATTATTTTTGATATTTTAGATAAATGTACCTGAAATGTGCTGCAGGAATCATGCCGTGAGACCAGATACATTGTGACTGTTGTACTGTTGTACCAGAAAGATTATTTAAATGTCTTTCTGCTTTGTAGACTAAACCAAATCAAATCATGGAATTTGATATGCTGTAATGCCATATGGAAGATCTACAAATATAAATAGGCTTATGGTCAAGGGTAACGGCAGTGTTAGGAAGAAAAGTTAAAAAGTTACTTGAACTTGCA